GCCTGGCCTTGAACACTTCCAGGGATGGGGCAGCCACAGCTTCTCTGGGCAACTTGTGCCAGTGCCTCACCACCCTTATCATAAAAAATTTCTTCCTTAGATCTAACCAAAATCTCCCTTCTTTCAGTTTCAATCCATTGCCCCTTGTCCTATCGCCATATACCCTTGTCCAAAGCCCCTCTCCAGCTTTCTTGTAGCCCCTTTAGGTCCTGGAAGGCTGCTAGAAGGTCTCCCTGGAGCCTTCTCTTCTCCAGGCTGAACAACCCCAATTCTCAGCCTGTCTCCATGGCAGAGGTGCTCCAGCCCTTGGATCATCTTTGTGGCCTCCTCCGGACCTGCTCCAACAGCTCTGTGTCCTTATGTTGTATTTCTCTGAAAGTCCTGCAAGATCTCCAGAGCCGGGGAGGTCAAGTGCTTTCTGGGAGAGGGTCCACGTGCGATGGGGCTGGGTGTCTGCACCTGCATAGTCAATAAACACTAGTGTGCTAGAGCTCGAACCAGTGCTAAAAATCCTGATTTCAAATGAAATGATCTCTTCTCTGCACTGCGAAGTGTGAGCATGACCCATAACCAGAGTTAAAACACAATAATCTGTGGAAATGGGCTGCAAACCAGCTGAGAGCTGTTAAAAATAACCAGCTTTGGGGCATGTGGACTCTTGTCTAGATCTGGAAAACAGCTAACTCGAAGCTAAGCCCAGGTTGAGAACTGAGCTGCTGTAAGACAGTTGTTTGAGGGCCACTCAGTTCGGAAGTGCTATATCGAGCTGCGGTGGCCGGTCGCCCCTTCACCACAACATACCAGCTGCCAGAACATGCTGAAGCTTGCTGGGAGGGAAGGACAGGGGAAAAGGAAATCAGGGAAAGCAACTGCCTTGACTTTGGAACAAGAAATCACTTCTGTAATCCTTCACGTCATAAAAACACAGCCTTGGGTTATACAGCTTCATAGCTTTTACTACCAAAACGTTATGATTTGGGTTTCATTTCTAGGTAGTTCTACCAAGACTGAAATCTGGTGAAAGCAATTTGACCTTACGCTCGCTGCAGGCAAATAGCCCCATGAAGGTGCCTACTAGACCGTTCCATTGTGCCAATATCCAACGCTCAAGATTTTGCCGTAGCGATTTTGTGGTAGTTTTTTCAAGGGCAACTTGAGCTTTGCTCACTTGCTGTGACTCTGCAGCAGCAGCCATCCGGCTTCCAGCCTCATCTTCCCAAACGTTCAGCACCTACAGCTTCCAGGGGATGTTCAGTGCGAATCAGCTAGCATTTCTGCAGAGTTAATATTCCCATAATTGCTTTGGAGAGAGGCCGTTCCCTTGACAAGGGGAAGCTCTCTGATACTCAACGGAGGATGCCACAGACGTGCCAAGTGTTACCATCTCCCCACGTCTCATCCCCGCCTCCTACGTGCCTGACACTCACCTTAAAGGACTGCACAAACGTCCAGAGCAAGATGCGGATAGTGTAACCCTGGCGAAGGAGCTTGATAAGTCTGGCTGCCCTGAAGAGCCGCAGGAAGCTGAGGTTGATGAAGTTGTCCTGCGGAAAGTAAAGGTTTTGTGTCCTTCAGAAATTAACGCGCTTAGAAACCACAGCCCGCAAAAAAGAAATTAAAATTACCAGCTTCACGATCTAAGCAGCAAATCGGCCACCAGAAAACCTTCCAAAAGAAACATTCGTCAGTGCAGATCACTCCACATGCAGCAAGTATGAGAAAATCCCTCTCCACAAGAGCCCTCCCCTCTGCTACTGGGTCAATGAGAGAAAAGGAAACGGCCCTTTCACGCTGTCCATGGAGGTCTTGTTTTCTTTGAGTAGGGCAGATTTTTCTCCCCCTAAAGACTCAGGGAGAGGTAATGGTGCCATGTTATCGTTTCGGAACGAATGATGTTTTGAAGTCTTGGCCAGCTTGCTTTCTACCATGAATTGAACTTAAGCCAAGACAGTTGCAAGGGATTGCGCATATCCTCTACCGTAACAAAGAAAAGCATTGTCCAGTGAAGATTAAAACATCCTTGAAAGAAGGAGGATGTTTTCTAACCTGGAAGTTTTAAATGTTTATACAACATGTGACTGGACAGGCTCGTCGAGGAGGAATGGCACCAGCAAGACCGTTTGGAAGATGGATCAATGGTAGAAAATCAATCGGGGAGGCTGAGCTTTCAACAGCAGGAGGGTGCCTTAGGAACCTGCTGATTTTTTAAATTATTATTAAATGTGCCTTTGCAGGTGGATCAAAGAACTGCTGGAAACAGATTCTGATTTCCATTGTTTTGTATGATTCTCCCCACCCCGCACCCTGTTTTTTTTCTTTCCTTCATGGAAAAGAGGTTTCTTGTCCCAATGAGCTAATCTAGAGAGGGTTCTTTCCAAAACAAAACATGCAAAAGCCAGATCCCTCTTGCCCTCCTGTTTTAAGGAGATGAAAAACATCCCCCCTTTCTGTACTGATTCCAATTCACTTATTTGTGAATCTCTGTTCGCAGCCACTTATTGGACCGAGTTAGCTAAAGACAGAAAGCATCTCGCTTTAAACTCTCAAGCAGTGGAGCGGAAAATGTAATCATAAAGAGCTCTTGTTGGTAAAGATGAGCAAAAAATAGTCTTTCCCTTGTAATATTGTTTTACCAGGAGACACCCAGTCATATTGAACCAATCCACGTTTCTTGCTCATTTGGCTACAGAGCTCATGCCGAATTTGGGGGGGCTTGTTGGATCTATTCATTTCTTTAAATGCCAGCTCAGTTTTGGGGCCATTAGCATCGCATTCCACCAATCCCATCAAAGAGTTTGAGAACTCAGTCTCAGGCATGCACTCGGTTTCTCTCACGTTAAAACCGCAAGCAGCTCAGAGTTAGGCACAGACCGTATATCAGACTCAATCCTCAAATAAAGAGAAAAGAGAAAAGCACAGGTATGTTCAATGAAGGAGCAGACAACACTGAGCTCATTCAAGTCAGCAACGGAAAGCAGCTCGGGCAGGCAGAACGCAAGCACGGATTCCCCTGGGTTGTTCAAGGTCAGCAGAACAAGCACTAAAAACTCCAAGCTTGTCTCTTAGCATCAGCTTCTGGTTAATTTTTCACATCGGTTACGTTCCCTTCACAAAATACCAGCTGGACTCACCTTAGCAGGTAAGGGCTCTGCGGGACCCGGGGGACAGAGCCGGACCGCGGCCGGATAACCGGGTGCCGTCAGCGACCTGGTCCTTAGTGACCTGTCCCTGCTCCGGCCGCGGCACAGGAGATTCACCTCGGCAGAGCAGCTGCTGAGGGTTTTGGTACAGGGCAAAGGTTTAACCCAGAGCCCGTTTTCATCACGGAAATTTCCCCCACCAGCCGGAACTGGATCAGACCTTATGTGTAATGCTCACGGTACTCTGGCATCACGCCTGTGAGCCTGACACATTAATACCTGCAGAGCAAGAGTCAAGTCAGACCTTTCCTGTGCACGAGCCCAGCGCTCCTCCAAGGAGCACGTGCACACAGTGTCTGCAGGACCCATCTCTGCGTGTGAACCCGCCTTACCTCCCTCTTCGCCTCTTACTGCAGCTTGACAGCAAGAACGTTGTTTTGCTCAGACTTTGCTATAATCTCATGACAGCTGACATGATGCTTCAATGTCTGCTTTGGTCCAGGCTGACTGCACGGTCATGCTTAGCACGGGCTGTCCCTGGGCTACACGAGGCTTTACACAGGACAGTCCAGATACGTGCAGTAGGAAATAGGGGGCTCAAAACTGTGCAGTTATGCCCATAACCCCCCAATCCCTGGGATCTGGAGGGACAAACAGTCCATAACCATCATTTTTTTTCTCCTCACAGTCCCAAATCCTCTCTGTTTGACTCGTTCACTGCCGCTTCCTACAGCACAGCGCGAGCCTCAGCTCTGCGGGGAATCACTCGCAACCCAGGAAAATCCACCGTTACCAACAGTCACGGACTTTTCGAAGGACCGTTCTCTGCGCCGTTCGTAGGGAGGCCAAATTACACACGCTCATGAGGGATGGAAGGGCTCCACGTGTGTAACCCTCAGTACACCGCAGAGAAAACCCGTCCTTCGACAGCTCAGCTCTCCAGGCAGCTATTGGGATCGCATGCAGCTAAAGGGGAAACTCCACGTTGCGATATTTCTTTTGTGTAACAGTGTTTTGCATCAATTCTCTTCCCCCTTAGTCCCCTCTGTAACACCTCACACATACGACCACCTTCTGGGTTATCAAGGTCTTTCTTTCCAGGTTTTTGTTCGCTTTTCTGTTGCACAGATGCTAAAGGCTGACTTGTGCTCTCAATAGCATCATAGCTTCACAATTTTGGGATCCACCTGAGGACTAGCAAATTATGTTCGAAAATCATTTCCCCCAGCCTGTCACTATTTTCCTAAAAGAGAGGACTCTGGTTCTGAAGGCCCCCAGCCACCTGCCAGGCCCCGGGGGGTCTGTGCACAGCAAGATACAGACACCACTTCCCAAAACAGGAGCATGACCAAAGCTCAGCTGTGTGCTGCATCCCTGGAGCAAACTGCAAAGCTGGAGAGAAACAGGCAGAACCAACAGCACAGGTAACAAACTGGCCTTGATTGCTGTCCTGCCATGGCCAGTCTGCTCCTTTACCCTTCCTTAGGGTGTTTTCCATACTGAAAAGTAGAAAAGCCGTGAAGAAAAGGGCATTGAGTCATTGCCAAGATCTGTTCCTCCAGCATCTTCAGCAGCAGAGCGGTTTCCACCCCAACAGCGGGGCTATGCCTGCTGTCCCTGGGATGCAGAACGAGCTCCGTCTGTACACCAGTGGCAAAGCACCAGCTCAGTGGATTTAGTGGTTTGGATTTTTAAACCTGCAGTGGGAATATGAGGGGTTTATGCCATGGCTGGGTGTGCTCTGCAGGATTTAGTGAAGGAGGTTACGTTACGCTGCCACAAAGCAATGAACTGAGCACAAGTTTTGCTGCTCAGCCCTGCTTCTTCCTGCAGCCCAGTTGCAGAACACAACATCCCCCCAGATGTTTTCTGCCCTCAAAACAAAGGGGTCAGCCAAAGTTGCAAAGAGCTCTGAGAATAGGAATCTGGCCAAGCCAAGAACAGGATTACTCGGGAAGCTCTGGCAGTTCCCTTCATCTGGCATCAACAGGAATTAACCTAAGGAACCTCGACCTAAGTCGAGGAAATGGTTGTATTCCCATTTAAATGTCCGTGGTGCTGCCAGTACTGAAGAAGAGCTCCTGAATCTTGCCCAGGGTCTTGGCTTCCTCTGAGGTTTGGGGAAAACTCTCCCTGATTTTAAGAGGCTGAAGGTTTTTGCCACACTTTGTGTCCTGGGGGCTCTGCCATTGCAGGCACATCACATCACGTCCTTTCATCATGAGCCAGGAACATTGGAAAAATGGTTTTATGTGTGTGATGCCCAGATCTCTCCTCATTCCTTATTACCTTTCAACTTTGGTGCTTCTGCTGTAGTCCCTGTAGGCTCCCATTGTCAGCAGTGGAAGGAAGAAGGCAGCTCTAGAGGACAATTTGGTGTTCCACAGATCTAACCTGGATGCCTTGGACGCCAAGTGATGGAAAGAGCCTGGACCTTGACATATGACCATGGAGACTGCAATCCTAAGAAACTGCAGGATGAGCACTGAAACCTTTAACCTTCAACATGGGCAGCAACAAGGCCAAAATCCAGACAAATGGAGAGAAGCTGATTTTCCCAGTATATTTTCCTGTGCACAGCTGATGCCAGAGCGCTCGTCCGTGCTGTCTGGGCCAAAGGACAGTCTCCAAAGACAAAGAAGTCTCCAAAGACATCTTCCTAGCCTCCACGCATCTGTAACACTTCCAGCCACCATGGCACACGCAGGGGACTCCCTTCTCAGATTGCACTATGCAAACTTTTAACTTATACTTTGTTGTTTTCTTCTTTCCTACTTCCTAGCAGGCAATTCCCTCCTGTCACCCTCCGTTAAGCACGGAGCTCATTTGCAGTCTGTCACAAAGATTCACTCTGATTTGTTTCTTAACAGCAACTGTGCAACAGAAAAGTCCAGATGTTAACGCAGATCCAAGAGTTGTTGTCAGGCGGCCACAAAAGGATTTTTGATAAGCTGATGGTCTCATTTGTGTTATTAACCATAGCCAAGATAATTAAGAATGGAAGAATATATGTATTTTTTAGATTGTATTTTTCTTCATTTTCTCTTTTGCTTAATTTATGATTTTCAAAGACAAGGGCCAGTATTTCCAAAGGCATCTTTGGAATCAGACACTAAATTCCCAGTGGGATCTGATTCCCAGTACTTTTCAGGCCTGTTCATGGCATGGCTTATGCATTTCACTTGAGATGTTTGCTTTTGCATCCAGGGACTCTGTGTCCGCTGTGGTGGCAAAACACTTCTATGTGCTGGTATCGCAAAGATAAAAATTACTCTTCTCTCTGACTTCTCTTTTGATTTGAAGGAAGCAAGCCTGTAATTTTGTTTTGCCTTACAATACAGGGTAAACCATTGGCTCAAGATCCCAGTAAGGCAGCGCTCTTAAACGTACTGCTTCCCTTTGCAGAAAGCTCAACGCATCTCATCGTAAAAGAAAACAAAACCAGCTTCTGAGAACTGAATTTGGTACCACCACTTACAAAACGAAGGGTTTCCCAGCCAGCCAATCATCTCTACTCCAGGCCATCCAGAAGCATCCTTCCCTCCTATCCTCATCCAATTTTCCACCAAAATAAAGCAAGTGTCAGTCTCCCCTTTAGCATTGTCGGGTGCAGCAAAGAGCGGAGAACAGGCTATTGGTAACTGCGTTTGCCTCACATCACCAATTAGCCCAGGGGAAGGAGATGCAGAACAGAAGCCAGTTTTGAGGCACGCTGCAGTGAGGCTTTTTCACCAGTGCAATCGGAAATCTCATCAAAAACGAATTAAATCAAAGGAAAACGAGAGAAAAATAAAAGCAAGAGAATTTAAATAATTGTTTAAATTCAATGAAACCAACCGTGTCCTATATGTGATGTTTTCATGGATGGATATTTGCAAGATTATTTACAAATTTTTTTTTTTTTTGAGCAGCAGGTGCACAACATACAGACGGAGACATGGTTTTCGCATTGTATGTTGATTGGATGGCGTGATTCAGCAGGTAGATAAGGAAAATAAAGAACAAAACAGGAAACAAAAGAGAAAATGAGTAATCAGGACAAGCGAAAAAGGAAACTCTGAAAATTTCACTGGAAAAAAACTGTTGGGCTTTTGGGGGTGTTATTTTATGATAATTACATAAATAAAAAAATGTTTAAAACCAAAACAGATTCTGAGATCCTAAAGGTAACGCAGACAGTGCAGTAGTTATTTGCATTTCATTTTGTAATGCAAATTGGGAGACAACTCACAAACACTTCTCGGTATGTTTTTTATATTTCCAGGCATAGAAATAGATGTCAGTTTGCCATACACCCATTCGGCCTCCTGAGGCCGGCCGTGTCCTCAAGGACACCTTCTCCTTAACATCACCTGTTTTACTTCAATTACTAAGAGGGTAAAAAACTGACATACGTGTTTTTGCCTAAGGAAATAAAAAAATATATATATATTCCACTGCATTCACAAAGTAAATTACGTACGACATGACTAGAAAATTAAAATAAAGCAACTAATCAACACATTTCTTTTCCTTTTATCTTTACTTTTCAGTGGGTTAGAAGTACCGATGCAGCATGGCTGGTGGAAGCCGAGTCTCTCAAGATGAGACCGCCCAGGTGAGCAGGTTTATTTACCTTGGAGAACACTTATAGCTGGAGAACATGGTCATGGAGAAAAAGTGGTGCTCCTGCGACTAGTTGCGAGTCTGATCTCAAAGTCATGCCCAGAAAGCAAGGAGCTGGAGGGCTTCACAGGTGGTTACGGGGACAGATGCAGACCAACAGTTGAGTCCACATGTGACTTCTCAGCCTGAGATCCCTCCCATGGGAAGGGGTAATGACAGGGATGAACATACGGGGAAGGACCAACAGGGGCTGCCACCCAACTGTCCCCACAGCTGCTTGTCAGCCAGGAGAGCCGGGAGCTGAGGAAGGCAAAGGGAGGAGAGGGCAGCCCCCGTTGAGGGGACAGCTCTGAGTCGTGATGAGTAAAGGTTTGTCCTCCTCTCTGGTTATTCTCAGCTCTGTAACGTGGTGCAGAGAGCTGCTGCGCCCCCCGTCACGCATCGAGCCAGAAAGTTGAAGTGAGGTTAAGTGTTAGTAGTAACCATTAACGATGGCGTTTTGTTCATCCTGAGCCCTAGTTACTCCTCTCCCCCACCTGGTACCGTGAAGGGCAAAGAGTGGTTGGGCAGAGGCAGTGGGGTTACAGACTCGAGGCCATGCACCTGATCTGTGCTCTGCAAACGAGGCACTCACCGGTCCTCGCCTTGAGCCCTGCTGCTTGCGAACAGCGCACTTGCTATCGCAGCATCCGTTTTTGCAGCCCTTTTATACACTTTTTCATTGGTTTTAAATTCCAGAAGTATTTAAGTGACTTAGCTGCAACTCCAGTTTAAGAAAATAGTAGGTTATATATAAACCAAAAAGATGGTTTAAAGTGTAACTCTTTCAGGATATACATGCATCATGCTGCTGTCCAGGCAGCAGAACAGTCCTGGCATTTCTCAGGCAGCTTTGGGACCCCTTGGCTTTCCCCACATGTTCTGTGGGTAAGAACAACACGTGCTGCAACCTATCGTGGAGCCAACAAAACGGGACCCAAGCAGAGCACTGGATCCTTCTGCTTGTTTTTCCATCCTACATGCCACAGACTGTCCTCAGGACTGGGAGGAAGGTCTGCAGTGCCAGTGGAGGTCCTGGTACAAGACCACCTCATGTCATTGGATGAAGCAAAATGAACTGCTCTGTGAAAGACATCCTGAAAGCCGTCATTAACAACTCTGTTATAAATACCGTCTTTGGGGCATTGCTGCAAACTCCCACTCATGTCACTGGATAATTTAGCAGTGATTCTGAGACCTGGGCACCAAGGTCACCTTTAAGCAAACCAAGCTCCTAATGCCTCTCCACCGAGCCCTGCATGATGTGTTCGAACTCTCGGCCCACAGTCCCCGTCCGAGGCTGACACACGACGTGCGCAGCTTGAGGTCGCGCACAACGGTAGCTACAAAAGCACGGACGAGCGTGCTGCTGCAGACAGGCACGGGCTGGAGAGAGAGATCAGAGAGGAGCTGTATGGAAGAAGTTTTGAAAAACAAGTCTAGCAAGAAGGTTGGGGGGACCTCTGGGTACTCTCTGTCTGCAGAGGAAAGCAGGTGGAAAGGAGACGTGAGGGCTATACAGAAATAGAATCATAGAATCACAGAACGGTTTCGGTTGGAAGGGACCTCAAAGACCATCTAGTTCCAACCCCCCTGCCATGGGCAAGGACACCTTCCACTACACCAGGCTGCTCAAAGCCTCATCCAGCCTGGCTGCAGAAGGGGATGATTTAGAGAGAGCAGAGCTCAAACAGAGCTATGGACTGAGTCAGAGGACCAAGAGGTCAGGGGCTGCAGTGGTACTGGGGGACATCCGGCTTTTATATTAAAGACATGTCTGTGACCAGCTTTGTATTGGACACAGTGTCAGGGGAAGCTCTTAAACTACATCAGAAAGTCCTCTCTAAGATTTGACTTACTGGATCTAGTTACTCGTAAACCAAAAGCCTCTCAACTGCCACCTGGGAGGCTAAGGAAAGGGTGTATATGTGCTGGGGAACTTAACTCTATTGGAGTTTACTGACTGTTTCTAGAGGTAATTCATACTACTCATAAAAGGCATCCCTAAATTGCTGCGATCTTTGATGCTGAATACCACAGAAATTACTGCAGATGGAAGGGTGATGCTCTCACTCCCAGCACCATCGAGGTCACTGCATGAGTTCCTGACAACTCATACAAGAGTATTTGGGAGCACATTTATTCTCCAGCCCAAAGACCAGGAGAGGGATGGGGAACCTCCGCCTACACACCAACTCTCCTACCCTAACAGCTGGCCAGCTGTGCCAAGAGACAGCTGCTGCTTCCAGAAAGCTGGGGATGTGCACATACAGCCCCAGACATGCTGTGGCTTTGTCTTAAATTCAACGACATATCACAGACCAACCTGGCTGGTCTGTAGCCAGGTCCCCACGTGCCAGACACCCTCACTGAGGTTGGGCCACCCCCGTGAGAGCTGGAGGGAGAGACAATGGCCAGTTATCCCAGCAGGGACTGCTGCCTGCCAAGCAGGGAATGGGCAACAGTGATGGCTGCTCTCTGCTGCTTTATGCTTGCAAAATAGCTGTACAAAAGAGGATTTTAATAAAAAGCACGTGGGCTTGATGCTGCAAAGGAGACACCTTCCTGAAGGCAGAAGATACCAAGCTCGGAGAGACCTCAGGTTCCCTTACCACGTGCGAGTTGACTGTGCTCTTCCTTCCAGTAAAACTGGGAAGGACGGGTGGAAGAGAAGTGTCAGTCTGTGTTTGGGGCTGACTTGGCAAACGGTTTTACAAATTTTCAAACCAAGGCAAAGGTTTGGGTGCCTGAGTCTGGCAAAAAAAGTGTGTCCCATGACAGAGGGAACAGAAGCGAGCACCCAGTACCTGCCCACGGTGCAGAGAAGTGCTAGTTGGACCTTGTGTTTGATCCAAGTAACTTTACCCTGGGCTGTCAGCCATGCATTAAAAACAAAAGGTAATCCAAAGTCTATGAGATAGGATTCACCAACTGTTAAATGGATACCATTCTTATGGGGAGTAAAAGTATGGGGGGTTTCTGTGCTTTTTTATACTAACAAGGTTAGGTCATAACATATTTTGTTAGAAACAGCAATATAGTCTTCACCACCAGCTGAATGTCCTGTAAAGAAGTCTAAGGAGCACAGTTCTTAGCACGTACAAAACAGAACTATAAGCAAGTCCCAGGGACTGAGAAGAAAAAATTATGGTAAAGTTCAAATTCATCACATACAGATACAGCATCATCAGCTGAAGCATGCACAGGGAGAGGAGCATTTATAAATCGGAAAATATCAAGCTGTCAAGGCTTAAGTCAGACATTTGCTGCCCTTATGGAAAAATCCTCTGGAATTTAATGGAAAGTTTGTACACTTCACGTAATCTACAGGGCTCGTTAGCAGGGAGGCAGCAGCCATTGTAGGGCTGGCCAACAAATCCTGCAGTGAAGTTGTTTGTTTTAATAATTGCCCCACAAAACTGTTGTGCACGTAACAGAAATGTACCATTTCCCCCATCCAGACTGTGCAGGATGACGAGTTTCTGGCTGTTTCTACACTCCCATCGCCTCTCCCCTTCTCACCCCTTCGCTCTTCCCCGTGACCACGCTTGGGTAGGTGCCCCAAGGGACAGATGTGTGTGTGTGCCCTGCAAAGCACTTCACACTATAAACCAGCAGTGTTCAACAGAATCCTTTTGATCTTCTCCCTCTATTAAATTCAACAGGATTTTTCCATTAATAGGCAGAACCAGGTTGGGGTTGGAGTCTTTTGCTGAACAAGAAAGAGGGACAGTTTCCTGGCAGAGTCACTACCACTGTCGTTCTCATCAGAAGCTTTTTGCACGACAGTCTTTGGGGCAGACAGCCGCGCTCGTCTCCGTGGAAAGAGCAGAGCTAATGGAAACGGGCTATCAGGTCACCCAAGGACGTCATCACACGATGAGTCCCAGAGGCAGCTCTAGGGAACACAGCAGGTAAGGAGAAGGTGCAATGTCTTGACAGGCTACAGCTTTGTTGGTAAACGAAGCAAATTGAGCAAACTGTACTTACCGCAATCTCTGTTACCAAAATATCAGTAATACTTCCCAACACTGTTACAAAATCAAAGACGTTCCAGGCATCTCGGAAATAATTCTGCCAAACAAAAAGACAAGGGGGATAGAGGGATCCCGGGGTTATTTTCTGTTTGCAACACAGGATTTGTTTGTTTGTTTGTTTTTAAATGCACGTCATGAAACACAAGCATTTAATGTAGAGAGAAAACAGTTGAAAGTAAACGAGGAAGGCACATACCAGCACACCAAAGGCAATGATCTTCAGCACACATTCCATTGAAAACATGGATGTAAACACAATATTCAGGCATTTCAACATTTCTTCATATGCTTCAGGAGCATCATAGAACTAAACCAGGATGGAAGAAAGGCTGTTACTGGAAGATCACTTACAGAATAAAACCTTCCCAGCTGACTCGCCTGACTGCAAGACTCCTGCTCGTTTTAATGCCAGATTTTGTGCTCACTGTAAGCAGGACTTGGAGTTACAACACAGTTACTCATCCTGCTGCAGAAGCACACCATTGCCTATGTGCTCTCTTAATGGGGCAGCTGGTGATACCCTCAGGACGGGGAAACCATTGCTGCTGTACATCTCTCCATAAGCACAACACGGACCAGGAGGAAGGAAGGCTTTTTCAAAACGTGAGGACAAGTGCAGAACTGTGTTTCATTCCACAGACCATAAGAACACGGTGACCCCTTGACTGTGAAGATATGCTAAGCTAGGTGAGGGATAGGAGGGAAGGTCATCCACAATATCCAGCCACCTTCCATCTCTTCCTCCTAAGCACTGTGGATCACATCCCAGAAGCTTGGTGCTGCGGCAAATTTGAGTAATTTCCCTGGCATGGCTGGATTTTGAGCATTCCCAAAGAAGTGACCCTGCTCTGCAGCAGGAAGCCCAGGCTGAGCCTGCAGCTCCAGACCTGCAGAGCCCAGTTCCATCCCACTGAGCACACGCTGAAGGGGCTACGAGCCAAACCAGCATTGTGCAAGGGAATCCCATTCCCAGTGTCTCATCACAACGAAACCACCTCCCGTAAGGGACCAAAGGAATCCCACAAGGCCTCTAAAAACAAAATCAGGCAGATGAGAAGTGGTGGTTGCTCCCACCAACCCCCTCCAGCTCCCAGGTTGAGGGTACAAAGCCTCTCCAGCAAACACCGCATTCGCTAGCCCAAAACTGCAAAGATTCAGTAGCAGCCCACTAACCTTCATCATTAGGACAATGGTATTGAGCGCAATCATGACCATGATAAAATATTCAAAGGGAGGGGACACCACAAACTTCCACATCTTGTACTGAAAAGATTGCTTGTTCTGAGGCATGTAGCGGGTCAGCGGCTTGGCACTTATGGCGAAGTCTATGCAGGCCCTCTACAAAACAAAAATGGGATGAAAAGAATACAGAAAAAGGGCTGGCAGTCCCTGCCAGTCGGGATGTTGTTGGGAGAGCGAGTGGAGCATTCCGTGGAGGATGGTATTTCTAAGTGTTTCTCGCACACAATGCCAGTCCTGACTACCCTGGTAAAACAGAGCCCAGGATCCCAAATCGCGATCACTTTCAGACACTCGCTGAAATATTAAAGCCCACAACACTCCTACGGCCCCCTGCAATCCCAGGAGACAGCTTTCCAGCCCAGCCCAGCTCCCAGTATGGCCCCGATCCCTTCCCACTTAGGGAAGGGAGTTTTAAATCCACAGGATCCCTTCAGAAAATGCTCTGCCAATTCCTCCTGATACGTAACCGTAGAACTGGGGGATTAGTAAAGACGTTATCCCTGTTTTAAAAAAGTATTGTGAAACTCACACACAGCTAAACCTGCCCAGCTAGTAACGTTTCCAAAAATTCAAACTGAACTCAACCCATAAATTATCCAGCAAATATTACTGGGTGAACTCTCAAAGACCCCCTTAGTTGGCTATTTCTGTTCACATTATTATGACTATAAAACTTCATTAACAAACGATTTCTACCCACAAGAAGTTTTGATTCTAGAGCATTTTCTCATCTTGGATAAGAATTTAAAGTCTTAAATTACTGCAAAAATACTTTCTGCTCAGTTGAAAAATAATGTGAGTAAAGAATCTCTAAATATTCTGCTTTATTTTGGACTTTTTGTTCATATAGACAAACAATACACTAATTAATAACTGATTAAAAAATCATCTCTTTTCATCAAAAAACAGGTTCCAGTTTCAAAATAAATGAAAAGAGATGGTTCTTAGCACAACAGGTAGTCAAGGCTGTGGGACCCCCAGACAAAGGATGTTGCAGATGTTACAAATCTGCATATGCTCAGGAGGAAACTGGATACACCCATGGGAGAAAGGCACACAGATGCTGCTAACTAAGGAAAAAACACATCCAGCTCAGGAGGTTCCCGAGTGGAAAATGATGGTATTTGCTAAGGCATTCAAGAAAAGCATCATATGTGCTTCTCCTGGTCTTACACTCTTCCCAAGGCATCTACTTTTGCCTGCTGCCAGGAGGACACCGTCTCAGCTGGGCACAAAACCAGGGTGGTGAGAGCAGTGTCCCTTTGGGGAGCTGTAGCAGCTGCAGCTCAGTTTGGTTTCTGATGATGGGCCTTTAAAAGGCCAAAGATTTGTCTCCTTTCACACCCACACGCTTGAGCTAACGAGCAAGTCTACCTCCACTTTGAAGCGGAGGTGCGGTCCACGGGGACGTGACTGTGCTTACTAACACGCAGGATTCGGGGACTCTCCCTGGTTTCATTTTTATGCAAAAGTTGAAAGAGTCCATAATTTGTTTGGTCTCTACACCACAAGCCCTCAGGTAATGACTGTTCCAAAGCCCCCCACGGCACGGGAGGGACAGGGAGTAGACTTCCATTGGTATTGGGGTGCTCTGAGCCCCCAGGAGCTAAGTCTGGATTCAGAAGACACGAGTACCTCGTTTTTCTCAAGGCTGCACTCTGACATCACTTTATCTCCTTGCTCTTGGAAGGTGATGATGATTAACGCCACAAAGATGTTCACAAAGAAAAAAGGGAAGACAACAAAATACACCACGTAAAAGATAGACATTTCCATTCGGTAGCCAGGGCTGGGACCCTGTTCCTCGTAGGTGGCATCCACCGAGTGCTTCAGCACACTGCAATCAAGCGCAAAGAGAGAAGAAAAGTCAATGAAATCAGCGTGAAGCACCAATGGCACCCTGATGGTCACTCACTGGCCTTCGCTCGCGTGGAGGGTTTTCCACATATGCTCAGGTCAAACTCGCTCCCGTCTTTATGGCTGGGAAGAAGTTTTTCTTGAGGATATTTTTAGGGAAACCCTTTCTGTTTTCACCATTCTGCAGAATGATGGAGATTTGCTACGTACAGATCCACTTATCCCCCTGGCCAAGGGGAGAGGATACAGTCAGATCTGGCTTCTCTTCTCTGGTCAACAGGGATGAAGTAAGGGTGGGAAAAGAAAAATATTGATGATCTCCGAGTAGGGGAACACAGTGAGGGACTGGAGAAGGGAGACTGATGCTGTATGTTTTATTCTTTATTTTATGAAATAACTGAACACGGAGGACAGGGAAGGTCTACCATGGAGAAACCCTGACTGTGAATTGCAGTCCACATGTCCCAGCAGAAAAGTGTGCCAAAATAAAGTCATATGCTGAACAGTAAATATAATTTTGGGACTGTCATACCCAGCATACTTTCAGCATAGGTCACAATACTTTTCCCCCTCATTTTCTTACATTCCCATTATCATTTTTACACCTGAGAAAGGCATGCCAGTCCAAAAGACTGTATCAAGCAGGCTGTTAAGTTCTGAAAACTGCCTAAGCATCCCCGTGCGAACCGAGAGGAATGTCAAGAAAAATGGAGAGCCCTGCCTGCTGATTCACCCAACCATCACAGAAGGGAAAGCAAAAGCTTAGCTGATAAAAGACTGTTCTTGTTTCACAGGTCACCTGCTGCTTACACGTCCCTCAGAGCTGTGGAAAGCTGCCGTTAGCTCCGCGATCACCGACCCTGCTAGTCCCACGTACTCACGTTGGCCACCCTTCCCCTGTGGACACGGTGAAGAGCGTGAGCAGAGCCCAGAGCACGTTGTCGTAGTGGAACTCGTATTTTTTCCATTCCCTGGGCTGCGCCTCCACCTCGTTTTTTTCATAATCGAGGTACTGACCCCTAGGAAAAACAGAGATTCAAACCAAATGAGAGAATTGAACCAAATCAGCCATTTCGTATGACTCACTGAGACGCATCAAAAAGATCCAGGAGCAGAGTCCAACTGTTCTGTGCATTAAAGACAAATAAAGAGACAGCCCCTAGGTTTGTAACAGAAATAAAAGTCATTTTTTGAGCCGTTTTGAGCCACAGGAACTGGACCTGAGGTCTAGAAATCAAAGAAATTGTTGTTGGGACATTCGTCCATTAGGCAAAGCTGGTAATTAACAGCATGGTGGCCCCCAAATTGCCTGACCCCACAGAAAACTGTGCTGCTCGATGGGGAAAAGTCTTTGGCTCCTACTTCAGAGTTGGATCTAACTCCTAAATAAGTCTCACTTTGAGGAGCTGAGAGACCTGGAGAGTTCCCCTCCAACCTACGCTGTTCTGTAATTTCACTTTGCTTTCTGTAATAAATCTGCTTTATTGCAAGGAAGAACTGCAGCAACAGCCTCGATGGCTCCTGCGTGCCTGCTGTCCCCCAGGGACGTGCCCTCGCTTGCAAAGCAGCAGGAGAGGGGTAACATGGGCAGACCCGGACACTGCTGAGGATGCATTTTGGGTGCCAAGAAAAAAAGCAAGTGAGAAAGATGCACATTGTGGTGAGTAAAGCACCTTGACAGTCTGCTGCAAAGGACAAAGCATGACGGGGCTTTTAAGATATTCAAATACTGTCCCTTTTTCTAGCTAATTAGGAGCTCTTTAACTTGCTACTGGCTCACTTCTGGTTATTTATTCATTATGTTTTTCTAACTCGTACCAGCCCTAAGAATCAAGGCAGCAGGTAGAAAAAGGAGTCACGCCATCTCTTCAAAAACCCTTTACCTTAAAATCACACGGAGCCCTCCTCGGGAAAGGAGCCTGCTCCCCGTACCGTTAAACATTTGGGTTTGCTCGATCAGAGCCAGCAAGGATGCAGCTATTAAAACAGCAAAAGGGAAAACTCACCTCGAGGGTAAGCGTGCTGAAGCATTGCTCTTACTTACAGGAGACTCATCAAACTCAGCAGATACCCGACTGATGCAGCTTTGGGACAGTCAAGGCAGCTGCTGCTGCTGGAGGAAGGTCGGGCCCCCCCCAGCAGCCCCCCCCCCAGGCCATACCTGCAGTCCTTCTCCAGCTCCTTCGACTCATCGGTGCAGTAGAAGAATCTGCCTTTGAAGAGCTGCACAGCAATGACGGCAAAAATAAACATGAAGAGCATGTAAACTATGAGGATATTGAGGACGTTCTTCAGGGAATTCACCACGCAGTCAAAGACAGCCTGGGATGGAGGAGAACAAGGTTAAGGGGTTGAGAGAAAAGGGCATCTAACCAAATTTGGGAGGAATTACCCAGCCTACAACCCATGGATGGCTTCATGGACTTGTACACCAAGCATTTGACCAAGAGTGAGAAATAATTCTCCAGCTGTGAGAAATAATGCTGGTGTCCTACATTTGCCTTCTCCACGAGTTTAGCCGTGCCACTGAATTTTCTGGTGCTGCTCGTAAAATTTATAAAGACAATTGCAGCTTGTTGAGATAAATGTTAGTCCTAAACAAATATTTCTATGGCCAATTACAAAATGAAAAATGTACTTGTGTTTAATTTATTCCTGGTGGATAAGGAAAAACTCATCAAATATTTCACTTGTTGACCATTATTTGAACTGCTTGCGTAATAAGGAAAATATACTGGATACACACCAACCAAATGCTTTGGATAATATTTTTCTAATGAACTGTCTATCAAAATTAAGTGTGACTAATCTAGTCAGCATATGTCACTTCTGAACTCCCTGCAAAGGACTTCTCAAATCCATTTATTATTTGGTTATTAGTCACTGATTCATAGTTACAAGTAATTTGCAGTTTAATTTTAGTCTGGGAAGTTTGTCATCATAATAGAAATTGAGCAGTCTTATTGCCCAAGCGCGGGGTTTATACAATACTGTTCCTGTTTCTCTGAATGGAAGTGCATAATTCACAAAATTACACTCCTGATGCAACCCAGAAATCCTGAATTAAGACACTGGAAATGTCTCTAATCACCCCACTAATCTTGCTGATTGTTGCACACAAGACCACATCCAGGAAAAAAAAATACAGAGAGAATTTTGAAGACAAACCATACGAATATGACTTGTGCTTCACATAAAGATTTCTGAACACTTCTTTAGAAGTAGTAAAATTACTCTGTAAAATGGCTTGAAAACAAGGAAGATACTCAACAAAAAGCAAGCGTTGGGCGTCCTGCTGCAGGACCGAGCCCCTGTTGACTGTTTTATGACCTAAGAGCTGTGCATTTTGAATTTCTAAAGAAATAAAGACCATTTTCTGCATTGTTCAATGTTACTCTTATCTTTTGAGGTAATGCATAAAAAAATGCATAGATCAAAACTACTTAAGCATGAATTGTGGGTCAGGGCAAACGCAGATCTCTACAGCAGCTGGCCCTGATTTTTACGTGCCACTGTGAGAAAACAGGAATTGCAGACACAGTTTCACCGCTGCAAAAGCCCCCATCGTTTTTGCCCTTCTCTCCCAGAAAAGTGATGCCACATGAAGACGTTCTGCAATAGGTACTCAAGACATCTCCAAACTCAGAAATGACTACATTTTGTAACTCCATCCATTCTCTGCTTCCAGGGGTTGGCTGTATCTCAAAGCCTTCTTGAAATGGTGTTGAATAGTAACCACAGGTCATTACATTTATTTTACGTTGTAACTTAGTATTCTAGAGATGAAAGGGTACTGCTACAAAACCCTGCACTACCTATTCTTTAACAGAAAAGATGAGCAGATTAAAAGTCCTCATACAGCAATGACATTTCTCTTTAGACAGTGGAAAATCTTGCAATATCCATATGAAGCTCTCTAGAGAAAACCAAACACTCCAAACCCTATTTTCCTGTATCATTTATAAGAGTGTCACACTTACAAACTGTAATTTAATTTATTTCCATTTTTTTCTTTTCTTTTTTCAGAAGTTTGATTTCAACGTGAATTCACAATAATTCATACTACTGCACGCAATGTTTGCAAAAGAAACAAGTGTGTGACATTTGCTAAACATCTGCACAGCTATTTTTATAAATCTGGCAAAGAGATTAACTGCAACAAAATACAAGGCACAGAAATAACTTGGATTAAGTTTAGTCCATCAGCTTCCACTCAGCTCGGTTTCCAGAGAAGGAAAGATGTGTGGTTATTCTCTAACCTTTAGTTTTGGCAGCCGTTTAATGGTCTTCAGTGGTCTTAGGACCCGCAGAACTCGCAGAGACTTGATTGTGTTGATGTCTTTGCCTTTGGTTCCTCTGCAAGGGATAAAAGGCACAAGAACAACAGAGGGAATGGTTTGGTCCTCAGGATGCTAACTAGAAGATCTATAGATACCCAGTGGGATTTTGGTTGTGGGGTTGGGGTTTTTGTTGTTGTTTTGGGTGTTTTTTTTGTGGTTTTGGGTGCCATCCTCACCATGGGTGCAGACATTAGTGAGGACTGCAGATGAATGCCCACTTGAGATGTGTTAATCACTGCGTTAATCACTGCGCAGGAGGAAGGCTGTGGGCAGGACATAGTCCACTCAGCCACTCGTGCTCTCCAGCCCTTGCTCACGTCCCAGCTACTCACCGAGCACCACCTAGAACTGGCGACCTTCCTGCCCCAACTCCTCACCCAGGCAACGGCAAAAGCTGGGACAGTGGCACACGTTGGCTGCAGCCACCAGGAGAGGAGGCTCAGTACATTCATCCCAGTCCCGGGCACGAGAAGTGAGAAGGTCGCACAGCTCCCCTCCCTGCCAGGCACCGTGGTGAGGCAGGAGGATGCTTCTCCATGTGCTTCCTGCACTTCTCTGGCAGGGATGTTGAGTCTAGACAAGCAGGCAGTGACCAGAGGGAACCGGAGTCTTCACAGTCCCCTCCTTGGGGACCAGAGCTGCTCTCCATGCCTGTACCCTCACCCTTGGGTCTCTCTTGGAAGGCATGCTACCAAACCCATGCAGGAGCATGTAATATGACAGCATATTACATGCCTGGAACAGTGTGAGGACAACTTCCCACTTAGGCATGCAGGTGCTGTAAGTCACATTTTGGTTTTAGTTTTTGTTAAAACTGTGTGCAAGACTTGAGACTGTTCCTCTTGTTACCATTAAGAGTTTTTTTAGGGGAAGGATAGAGTTCCTTCCCTTGTTCACTTCCAAAATAAATAAAAAAGAATTATTTTTTACCCCCTCCAAGACAGTTACATCTTCTTCCAACCCAACAGCAAAACAATGACGTTCCCCTTCGTTTCATATGAAGTGAAAATGGGATGAAAATCTTTAACTGAGTTTTATTCATGACTATAGGTTTGGGTCTGAGACTCTACTGAAGTAACACAGGTGTGAATGAACAACATGTTGAGCAGATGCTGACACACCTATTCTACGATCTTCCAGTTTGCTAAACATTTCTCTTCTCCAAAAGGAAAGCGATCGAAACACAAGTAACCTGAGGGACCCAGAAGAAGTATGGGTGGGTAGGGGACTGCAAAGCTTCCCCCACCTCCTGCTAGCAGCCAGCCCTGCGCACCACGGTAAGGGATAAGCCCCAAGAGGGGAGGAAACCATTCGCCTTCATGGCTGGCTGACCTTGCTCAGCCTCGGGAACTGCCATTTTGCAATCTGTTCGCTTCTAAAAGACTAATAACTCAATACTGATGCTGTACTACTCAATACTGACACCGGACTGGAATCTGCAACCTAGAAACACACATTCCTGTCTCATCTCCAGTCCCTTTCTCCAATTACCAGTCACTGAAATGAAATAAGCAGTGAGACACAAGGAATTTTTAGAGGGCCGTGGGTTGTATCCCAATGACTTACACGTTGAACACAAGTTGACTTTGCACATGATTTAACAGAAATGGAGGAGAGGGGGAACAGGACGGAGATTTACCTGTCCTCTCCCAATCTCATCTTTCAGGGCTTCTTTAGAGCTGTTTTAACCAGCCACACATGGATCCTGGCTGCTGGCACGGCTGTAAATCCAGGTGGTTGAGGTAATACTCATGGAATTACAGGACTGATGCAACACCACAGAAGAACTATTATATATTTAAAATAAATCAGTTTTGATTCTCATTAGAGACCTTTTAATCTGGTCTGGATGAAGCAGACACTGCCAACATGGCTTTTACTTGTTTTCTCTTTAGGTTTTAGCATAACTGAAGATCTGGCCCACGTTTGGCTTTACATAGTTGCTTTCAAATCACCAGCTCCCAGCAATCAACAATCCTGCCACTGTCACTGCAGCCTTGTCACCACAGCCTGCAGCTCAACCAGCCAAACTCCCCAGGTAGATTTGTCTGATCTTTAGCAATGCCCTGGATGCAAATCGATTTGTTCAGCCTCTTGAGGAGCACAGTGACAGGAGGGGAGTAGAAGGGGAATTAGGTTATTGGGAAGGAGATACCACCTGGCTTGGCCACGTCAGCTCATCCCCATGGCTAATGGTTACCCAGCACATGTCCATCACCTTGGCTGCCCCTCCTGTTCCCTCTGCCCTCTCCACTCTGAAAGGCCAAGGAAATCACTTGGGTTGCTCCATATTTCCCAGCTGTTTGGTGTTTAACTGGGTGAGGGAGGCAGGACAGAATGGGATGAACAGGCAGGAGCTGAGGAAAGCAAAGGTGAGAGAAGAGCGAAGGTGAGAAGGTTGAGGGACACGTGGTTGTGGCAGTAGGAGGAAAAAAAAGGTGAGATACCTTGGCCCAAAATTATATTCAGCTCTCAATTATTTCTGGCCATGTTTCTGGTTAGCAGATGAACACACACAGCCCAGCTCAGCAGCACAGCCACCGGCAGGTTGCAACTGAACTATGAGCCTCCAAAGTCCTCAGCTGAGTTCAAGTAAAACCCCAGAATATTTCTGCGTGGTGCCTTCCAGTGCTCCTGATTCCAGTCCTAAACCCTATTTCCTATGCTGAAGGATCCAGCTCAGGTCTCACAGGGCTGGCTCCAAGCCTGATGCAACAATCTCAATGGACTTTACATTTCTAGGAAGGTTAACTGGACCTACTGGGGCCAAGAGAACAGGTGGAGCAGAGCAAATCCTTCCTCCAGGGTCTGTGGGAGAAAAAGCTGGTTCTCCCTCGCATGGGGAGGTGTGTGGGTGGCTGCACTGAGAGCTCGGAGGTGAAGCTTCACAAAATTCCTTCTGCCTGAACGAAGGATGCTAAGAAGGGTTGATTTATTTTATTTTTTTTCCTTCCAGGAAGCTAAGCAAACAAGGAGCGTGAGCCGATTAAATGTTAATGGGATTTATGATCTAAGACATATAGAGAATCCTAAAAAATCATACTTATTTCTTGTCACAGTAAAGCTCTTGCAGTGGGAGAAAGCTTTTCCAACGGACTGGTACTCTGAACCAGGGTGATGCAAATTGCATTTTAATTAAATGGATCTTCTCCAAGTGTTTCAAATAAAACCTTAAGGGTTGTTGTCAGTGCTTTTAAGAACCCCCTCTGCCAATATTGGTTTTTACACCCCTCTAGCACAAAGCCAGATGTCCCACAAAATAAATGGTCCAGATGGAATTAGGATTCAGTCAAAAGGTGTACACAAGCACACATTTGACCAGAATATTTCTCACAACAAAAATAAATCGTTATGGAAGGGTAAGATCTTAGGTGACTGCGGAATAACAGCTACAAGATTCAAAAGAGCTGCAAAAAGCAAGTGGGATAAAGACAGACAGCAAACAGAAGCCCAGTGACTCAAAAAGAAAGAAAAACCACCATCTCAATAAAAAAAAAAGAATAAAAATCATTAGGTCAATTCTGGATGCACTAGGGCAGTTCTGTTTTTTTCTGGGGCAGTTTGTTTCTCGTTTATTTAAAACATTAAAAATATTTTAAAAGAGCTTTGCGTGGCCTTTTTTTTCCTTTAATAAATAAAAGATTCTCTAAAAAATTAATAGTTCTTTAAAATGGAAGCTTCTTGTTTCTATAGCTCCTGCCAGCAGCTCTCATTTCATGGAACGTGGACCTCAGAGTCATGTCATCAAATATTCAGAGCAGGGTGGAGCCACCTCCTGCTGCGATTGCCTGAAATCCCCAAGGCAGAAAGTGAATTCCTCCACTGAAAAGTAAACGAGGTCACGCAACTCTGCCCAAGCACAAAGCCACCCTCTTCCAGGGTCTAAAGGAGCTGGTTTCCTAGACAGGAGAAAGAAATGAGTACCCAGTTTCCTGGATCACACCAAACTCCTCTCTTGCCATCCTTTTCCTTGCAGCTCTGGGTTGTCTGCTGCGGAGGAGCCCCCCGAGCTCCTGCCCTGCTGGAGCTGCGGCACGAGACGATGCAGCTCTGCCTCCCGCTCCATCCCCGAAGCAAAGCCGAGCCTCACCGCACCGACAACAAAACTGCCACCTCCTTGCAGGTGGTTACACACAACTTTTGCTCCCTCCTCCTTTACAAATCGCCCCGCCAACCTCTCTATGCTCTTGTGCTGATGCCAAGGACTTTTCACCAATGCCAGAGGCTGACAGCCTCAATCCCAGCTGGGTCGCATTGCCCACACTGCACAAAATCAGCCCTGAAGCTTCCAGCACTGCTAATGTAGTTGAGAGGTGCAACCCTCTGAATGAGAATAAAACTGCTTCTTTAAACCTAACTATTAAGATTTGCACGAATTGCAACTCACACATTAACGATGTACCCCTAAGTAGTCCCTTCAAGTCTTTTTGGTACAATTCTCTGAAAGGGTTGTCAGCCACTGGAATAGGCTGCCCAGGGAGGTGGTTGAGTCCCCATCCCTGGATGTGTTTAAGAATAGGGTGGATGAACTGCTTAGGGATATGGTTTAATGGGGATTAGGGATGGTTGGACTCGATGATCTCTAAGGTCTTTTCCAACCTAGAAATCTATGAATCTATGAATTATATCTGCTTATCACAGTTTCTGACTCTCTGGTCTACTTGGCTTTCTAGTGGAGGGTGTCCCTGCCCACGGCAGTGGCGTTGGAACTGGATGATCTTTAAGGTCCCTTCCAACCCAAACCACTCTATGAGTTTATGATTCTATTCTCTGCTTAAAGAAAATTAAGATGAATGATGACTGTTAAGGGAAAATACATTTCACTGAATAATGAGCAATAAAGGGACAAAGGAGTCGATGCAATGGGTGTCACATGGTTAGTTTCTACAGTGGCGAGTGTGTGTACACACGTTTGACAGGCATAACAGTGCAGCAAGAGACAGGAATAACGTATTACCCCATGAAACTCCTAGAGAGAGATTCCAGCAGAAGAAGACAAAGAAAGAGCAGAGTCAATGACAAACAGAAACATAAGGCTGTACAGTGCATCCCATGCACATACAGGTATGTGCTGGCAGATAATCCCATCCCCTGTCCCACACCCACCAACTCAACGTTCATAAAAATAAACAAGCAAGGAAGCAGCAGACTGGCAATGTGGCACATACCCACACATCCCCCGTGGGGCAGCAGCCCTTCAGCTGACGAGCACACGGGGCAAATTACCTTCACCCTCCTCCTGACACTTTGGAGGGAATAACTTTGATTGTTTGGCAAATCCTGTTTGCTTTTTCAGAGAGAAGTGTGAATTTCTGTGCGTTTGAGCCACCTTTCTGTTGTTGAAAATGTAAAAATGTAATCTTTTTGCTGCCAGTCATCAGCTACTTCTGTTGAATGAAAAGATGTTACACCTGGGGCTGATGCATTTCAATGACATTTACCAACTTGCTGTAAGTTCCTCTACTTCTCCTTACCCTAAAGACTAAACCAAATCTCTACATTCGTGGCGTATTTATCTCTAGAACAAGAAAGGGATTTCTCTTTGAAATATATTGCTAAATGGAAGACATTATTTTATCATCATCAGTATTATTAATGTCTCTACATCTCACTGCAGGCCTTGCTTTAAAGTGTGTTGTTTTTTTGTGAGGTTTTTTTTTGTTGTTGTTGTTGTTTTCTAAACTACAGTCAAGCATACTATAGCTTCTAAAAAGCTACAGGCAAAAAGTAGGCTGATAGCTGGTTTGAGAGGCTGAGATGGATTTTATGAACCTCGCAGCAATGACTGATACCATCTCATATGCCTAAAGAAACATAGGCTGTTGCAATATTCCAGATGGAAGCATTTCAGGGAGATCCATTTTTCCCAGGCTTTTAGTGATGTGTCTATTCACCAAGAAGTTGATTCACATCACCTTCCCTGGACACCAACAAGGTCAAGAACACACATGAGAATTAAATCACACCCAACTGAGTGGCAATCATATATTCTAGCAAACAGAAACTGGTAACAGCCATGTTAAACACATCTTCACAGTGACACTGATGGTGAGTGACAGGACTGCAGTGTTTGCTTGAAAAAAAACCACTAAAAAAAAAATGAAGATTACCCAGTTTATTCTCCAAAAGCTCCTTTTTCTGGATTATAAAAATTCAGCAGGCTCAGTGCGTCCGTCTGGCTTAACCAAAGAACTCGGATGAGCTAAGGACATGACTATCTATCCAATTTTCATCTGAACAGTCTGAGACTTGTTAGTATTCATAACTGGGCTGGCAGGAACGGAGAGCAAGTTATCTCCTACGAATGACTGGCTTTCCTGCTCTCAGATTAGACCAGAGATACTGCAAGTATTCTCCAAACTGGATGTCAGCACTCTCACCGCCAGCTCAAACACGGACATGTAGCAGAGGTTGCAGTCAAAACAAAAATCACAGAAGAAATTCAAATTTTTCCAAGTCGCAGAAATAGGTTTCGACTGTCTTTAATCTCCGAGACAGTAAATAGGCAGGTAGGTTTTATGCATTTGCCTTCTGTAAATCCCTGCTCACTACTTGCTCAAAGAGCATATGAAACAGAAGCAGCTTGGGGCACGCTATTATGAAGCACAGTCAGGGGATGTACAAGTAATTTATTTAGAGGCTGACGAGGTGCTGTTAGATATTCCTGGCCCAATGCGAGCAATAGAAAACCTGAGCACAAAAAGACTCAGAAGGATTAAAAATTATTCATTTTCATCCACAACTTGTCCAAAAGAAAAATCTTGTTCAAAGGGAAGATGTTTTAAAGGCAGACCCTGACGTTTGTTCTCACAGCACACTGAGCTGCTCTGAAGGGCTCACAAAACACCCCTTCTCCCAGCCTGCCTTGAAAGTTTGAATCCTTGATGGAAAAGGGAAATTCTCAGTGAACCACAGACTTGAGTAACATCGTTTTGCAAATTAATACTTGTTACTAATATAATTTTACTCTTTTTAGTAAGTTGTAGTAAGTTTTTGCTTCACTCAGACTGACCACATCCAGTTCTGAAAGATGTTATGTAATATGTATGCAGGGAAACTAAGCCACACACACATGCCTAGTCAAGCTTAAAAAGCAACCTGGTTTTGCATGCCAAATTTTAGGTAAGCAAGAGATTCACCAGGCCAGCTGACAGCCTTGCTTACAACAGAGCACTCAATTCCTCTGAAAAGCAAATTTCTAAGGAATAGTGATGAAGTCTTTGAAGAGAGGAGGGTAGTGTCCCTTTGAAAAACCTGTATTGGGCATGACTTGCTCCAAGGTCAAAACAATTCTTCAGTGTAGGATAGGGCACAGAAAGCCCAGACCTCAAAAAATTGCCACTGTCATCTCCACTGAAGGATGGTAAATGATGTAGCTTGATCATATAATCATTTACAGGAAGGCTCTGGTCACAGTTGACAAAAAAAACAGACGTATAGGATTAAAGAATTTGTGTGTATGTCTTAAGATGCATTTTCCCTGTTCTATCTTTAATACAACCTATTTGGAAAAAGGGGAAAAAATGTGACTCCAACTGGCTCAAAAATCATACCAACAATGTCAATCCCATCTCCTTCTGTTCAACCGCTCCATGGTCAAATTAGCTCAGATGTTTCCATCCAGAATTTGCTGTGAAGAATAGAAGATCTAAAATACACCTCTCGCAGCGTGATGTGAAAGGAATTTTGACACCTTGGAAAATGAAAAACTCCTGAGAAATATCCCAGGCCAACCTTACCAGAAACGTCCCAGTAACTTTTTATGCTGTGAGGGACATGGCAGTATTTTTCATCAGCAGAGCACGTAAGAGGAGCAACGGCTATGGCTGGCTGCCTGAAAATTGCTGTCAGCCTACGATATACAAGGCACGCTTCTGCGGTTCCTCCACAAAGGTGAAGGCTTCTTCTCATTAGCAAATAAACCACTGCTAATTTCTTCACCTTCTCTAATCATCGTGTCAACAAACAGGTGAGTGGAGCTTGGGCATGGGCTGCTAAATGGTCACTGTAATTACTCAAGGCTAATTTAGCAGAAGATTAAACTGGCCAAGTCCTGTAGCCTGTTTCCAGGTCATCTAGAATTTCTCAGGAAAACAATTGCAATACAATTATTCTGCGGTCCAGAACTGCAGGCGGAAAATTTCTTTCCACCACTCAACCCTGAGGTCCCCAAATTCGGAAGAACCCGCATTGCTCTTCCTCTGATCTTTTCTGAGAAAAATGCTCAAACTAAAGGTAATCTTCATTTTTAAAAAGCAATTCCTCTGCGTCTGTTGCTCAAAATCCTCCATGACATTAAAGAAGCACATAGAACATCATTTAATGTCATAGGAAGCAGTGATTGAGGGAGGGAGCAATTAGCCTTAGAAGTGAAACTCTCTGGAAATGCAAGTACCCTGAAGGAGAGAGGGAAAAGAGAGAGAAACACCAGAGGTATATGAACCAGATACATCCATGACTCTAGAAATGAAGTTTTGTAAAGAGTTCACTGAGCTACCAGCTGATTTCATTAACTATTTGTTCATAGTAAGAACAAATTTTAAAGCAATTGCCTGAAGACAGAAGACTGCCACAAACTGTTATAGGGTGTCCTTGAAAAGAAGTTGGCCAGTGGGTCACAAAAATCTTGGTTCAGTGCTTGAAAAACAGTGAATGGACTCACTCTAAAGCTGGGAGAATTGTCAAGAGATTCTGCAACGCAAATTTAGGGATCTTTTTTTTTTCTGCCCCCCAGGTATGAGATGGTAAAGGGCAGAAACTGAACATTTCCCTGAGAAATGGAGCCACAAACAGTACACTTCTACTAGCTCTGTGCTAGGGCTCTGCCTCTGCAGCTTATTTCCTAGAAACTGGGATGTTAAGGAAAATGTACTTACGAGAAGGCAAAGGCCACCAAGGCCCCACTGACCACAATGAAGTCCAGGATATTCCACAGGTCACGGAAGTAGGAGCCAGGATGGAGTAAAAGCCCCAGGTCAATCATCTTCAGAGGAAACACATCAAAAGAAAGAATTTTAATAAAACAAGTACCACATCAACACTGCGGAGGTACAGAGGAATGTCCTTGACCAAATGACCCTCCACAAACTCTTCTTCAGGGCTTCACAGCAGCAGGGTAACATTTAGAGGCTTAGTCAAGCTGCCCATCTCTAACAGGTCCAGAGAGCTTTGTCAAAACCGAAGTTGAAGCCAACAAACCATAACCAAAAGCACAAGAGACAAAAGTACTCACTGCTACACAGGATAATTTGCACAGACATGCATTAATGTATGGGAACAGCAGTCTGTGTGTGAAACATCCCAATAGTTTAATTTTATTCTACCCCAACCCTACCAGATTAAAAGGAATTAACAACTGGCGCAGGATATTACACAATAAAACGCAAAGAAGGGATGGGAAGACCCACAGCCAAACGCAACAGAGCACTTGCTGAAAGATGCTGCTGAGCGTAGGAGCCTGGCTTGCTTCTGCACAAAACAGTCTCTCCTGACAGTGCTGCTAAAGATCTAGAGTTGAGTCTCAACGCACACGCTAGACGTTTTTATCTGCTTTTCTGAGAGCTCTACAGCTGCCCACGTAAGGCTGCTTTCCTCACATAGCTTCAAATCCTTCTTCTGAACAAACAAGGGAAAAATCTGTTATTTTATTCTGCATCTCTTTTGCATCTTGCTCTGACAGTAAGCACTAACTCCACCATTACTCCAAGAATAAATCCTGACTTTACTAGAATTATGCTTTCTGGAAAGTTACTGCCCCACGCTTTTAGCAAAGCTCATTACCCTGTTGAGTGAAGTAAAAAGATAAACCCTCAGCTTTGGGAAACATGAGAAATCAAGAATCGGTTGCTATTAATATTCCTGATCAGCATCAAAGGAAAAGGGAAGAATCAGACATGTCTCAGGAAGGTCTATGAGCTCCTGTGTCCTTAGTCACGCACAGACGTTTCTGCATCAGGCACCCACACTTCTTATCCTCTTAGACAACCACAGCTACTAAAGATATCCTTATTTTCCTCCATCAAATGTGAGATTAAAGGAGAGCCACTACAGAAAGACATCTGTGGTGCACTGGCTGCTCCTGAGTGCTGTTCCTGAGTTTCCATCATCACCAACTCTCCAGGTGCCCCGGGAAGCCCTGTCATACCTCACCCTCCTTTCTCCAGCTTTCCAGAAGTAGACAAGCGTAAATCTGAAATGGGAGGTGAACATTTCTGCTTGGAAAATGTCTTACCTTGATGACCATCTCGAAGGTAAAGACGCCTGTAAATATATAATCCAAGTATTTCAGAGCCTAAATTGGAAAGAGAAATGTGTATTAGGGGAGACTGAAGTGATCAGCAAAAGAGCAAAGAGTTATAAGTCTGTTCTGGCAATGGTCTGTTTGCTACACTGGATAAACATCATCTCATGGGAGGCTTTCAAACAGTCTAGGCACAAAGTTGAATCATCTGATTTAAACAGTAGTATTTTTTCCAGTCCTTGCCAGACCGCAGTACGCATGTCCATGGGTTGCTTCAGTGCCCCTGTGTACCCGGCAGGTTTAGCAAGACAAAAGGAAAATTTCAAATCCAAGTATTTGAACATCCTTTCCTAAAGAGCTTATTTGCCAGAATCTGCGTAGCAGCCTGGGTTTCTCTTCTGCTATAGCTGACGACAGTATTATTAAAGACCTCAGGAGAGTAAAGGAGTGATAAAATCCTTTTTGTAAAACTGATTCCACAGTTATTAAGGATGAGGAAGAGAGATTGCTCGTAGCTACTTCAGCTCATTACTGATATAGGGATTTGTGGATCCTCCTCTGGAAAAAGCAAATACTGCTCAGATTCAGAACCAGGAGGCCAGGCCAGACAATTCTGCTCTGTCCTGGTCTGCTGACTTGTGCCCTGAAGCAGTTCAGCTCCTTAATCCGCTTAAGGGGTGGATGAACACAGACTCCTCAGTATACATGCTGGTAAATATCCATTCAAATATCTATAGATCTCCTAAGCTTTAACGTAATTCCGTAGATGGGATGCACCTATTCACATTCATATGATTATATCTAGTGAATGGGTATATGTAAAATCAATATAAATATCACATGATATCCACATACTGCAACTATATGCACTGGAAAGTCCAAAAATCGGGCATCTTGCAATTTCTACACTTAATCTTCACTTCTGTAGACTCCCAGTTGTCCATGGAACTGTAACCAGCTCTGTGCCAACATCCTCATGTGAACGTGCTTGGAAAAAGATACCCAGCTATCTGCTGCACGAACGCTCCTGGGCTCCACGCTCTCCTGTGACAGGTGGCACACTCCTACTTCTGCTCGTGACAGCACCCATCTATGAAGTCTCTGAGTTTGGTTTGACATCCATGGACAACTAGTTTTTCTACTAATTCCAGGAGATTTCTACCATGCCCCACCAAGATAAAAAGCCATATCTGGTTTTAATTCCTCAGGCTGTCTAAGATCTAGGGGATCTTAGGACAATGTCAGCCCTGGCTCGTGACTGGGGAAGCCCTTCCCACTGCTGAGTGGTGTGGAAGCAGCTTTTTAGGCTTCTTCCATGTAAGTCACACGAGCCAAACAACCAGCCATTTCCCAGTTCTCAAACTTGGATGTGGTTGAAGCAGCAGAAAAGGACAGAAATTGCGAGCATTTTGATAGTGGAACAAGCTAACTTGAGTATGTTATTACAGAAAGCTCCAGTTTTTCATTTGCCAGTGCACTGTATTATCCTTTGGGAAAAACATGTCATGGGAATGGATGTGTCATGTGTATAACCGCTGGGAGAAGCAGAACATGCTGGCCATGTTGGTTGGTACTCACATCGTTCCTCGGTGACTCGGCTTGGACAGGGTCTTCTGCAGCCAGGGCGATGCTGCTGAGGGCTATAACTATGAGGATGACCATCTCGAAATAGCGCAGATTGACGATGTAGTGGAACAGGCGCCGGATTCTGCAAACAGAAGCACACAGGAGGGCTACTGCGGGTGCTGCAAGGCAGCACAGTGGTATGAAAGACTGGCAGAAGGACAATGTTCATCAGGAACATCACCTTTAGGATTCCTATTGCAATAACGTTTAGAAAATGAAAAACAGGATCAACGGCTTTAAACTCTAGTTTATAATAGACCTGTGGTGAGATTTAAAGTAAAACATTTAACATCTCTGCACTGCTGTCCACCCTCTCTGCAAAGCAATGACATCTATCAAAAGGGCATTGAGAGCTTTCAAGCATTCAGGCTCAATTCTACAAATTATGTTTACATACTCCCCCATCCTTTTCACTTTGAAGTCACAGGCTCAAGTCCTGTGAGTTCGAAACTAGGTTTGAAATCCTTTTAATATCAACTAATCCCTTTAAAATTGAGATATATGCTATGCACTTTGAGACTCTTAGCTGAAACTGGCTTCATAACTATGAGTATTACTTCTACCAATATCTCTCTTGCCAAGTACCTCTGCCTGCACTTTATTCCAAGATATACTTTCTAAGCTGCACAAATACTTCACAGTAATATACTTGATTACTTTAACCTAATCTTCTTCTTCACAAATTGTGTCCAAGAAAATTGACAAATGCTTCAATTTCTGAGCAATGCAAAACTAGTCAAAATTTCAGCTAATAACTCTAGCTGACCACAATTCACAAATACTTATCTGCACAGAGAACTCTACATTTGCACCACATTTGTCAGCTGAATAAAGGACTTTGGTTCTGCCTGAGAATTGAATTATATGTGTAACTCACCACCAATCTTGTTATCTGGGAATGTAATTCAGTTACTATATCACATTTTCTCTAAGCAAATAACTGAACAGTTAGAATTAGAATTTATTTTTCACAGCTACTTATAAATTCCTTTTCTCTGGATTGCTAATGGATTCAGAATGAAGAAGAGTTACAAATACCAAGGAAACAGATTTGATACAAAATAACATAAAGAAAAGTGCTTTTGTGGATCCCTTAAGTCTGCTTACCAATCTGACAGAAGAAGATTATCATCTATGTGCTCCATGAATCCATACAAGTGAAAGGCAACATTTTCAATAACATTTGTAACCGTAATTCTTGCATCAAACTCAATTCATCAAAGAAATAGCAAGTCCCTATTTTCAGATCTCCATCATTCATAACTGGTGGGGAGCATTTGTAAACTGCCAGTGGTGCTTGAGAAATCATTTTAAATGCATGTCCACTTCAAGAGGGTGGTGGTACTTGGAAACTAATACATTTAATTTATGCTTCTCACAACTGTTTTGCCCACTAGTAGCACCCGGGTCATGCATCCCCAGTGGGGCTTGGAAGGGAGGGAGGTAGTAATAGATGTGGTGAAAACCTTCATATCCCACAAAGCAGAAAGATCCCTCTTGAGAAGTTAGCACCAGCCAAAACACCTGAGGGGATCCAGCTGGGGCTGCATCTTGCCCAGAGGAAGAAAAACAAGTTGCTGACATTCCTAGAGTTTGGTCTTTGTCTTGTTATTTCTCATTGGCTCTGTGCTATAATACATCTCTCCCAGTGAACTTTGGGTTTTTTAATGGTCTCTTAGTACAGCTTTTGGGGGATGGGGTGTGTGTGCTGGAGAAAACCACAAGACGACTGAAACAACATCCCAAATCCTGGACTATGAGGCTCAGAAGGTCATAACTGTAGGATGAGGTGAGAGAAGACAAGCATAGGCATGAAACAAAAAAAGTCTTCCTCCTCCTCTGTCTGCCCAGTCCACTCCTCAGCTCAGACCCTTCCGGGCGTGGGACCACCTAACTTCCCACTCTGCAATGCTGCCTTAGCAGACATTTTGCAGCTAACACTCATTTTTGGTGGTCACTCCACAACAAACACACTTAAGCCATGAAATACTAGGGAAATACTGTTTCCTTATCCAACCAGGCAGGGGCCAAGCTCCATAATCTAAATTTGACCTAGAAAGTATAATTATACTATGACTGCACCTCATCTAATGCTCTACTTCCCTTAGCTGCCTTTTGCATGAATTCAAGGGAAATGTTGCCTTACTTGAAATAGCACAATTCTATCACAGTATTCTGAAAAGCGAAAACTTTCTGGGCTTTCAGCTCAGTCATCCTAAAGTGTGCTGAGGTCTACCTTGCAGGTGGCTGGAGAAGGCGAAGGGGAAACACACGTGTCTGTCTCGTGGGTTTGAGACAGAAGGGGCATGTATTGAGTCTTCATTTCAGGTCCTTTGGAGATTAGATTAGCAGCAGTTTGGGGTCATTCTCCCTCTCTAACAGCTGGCATGGAGAGAGAGTCTCTAACTTCTCCTACTGATGAATTCCTTCTGTGTTCATAGTTGTACCATTGTGGAGCATGCAGGGCTGTAGCCTGAACTATGCAGCTGGCACTTGTGTTCAAAGAAATTATTCCACCTGCCTACTGCCCAGGGGGGCCAGACCATGGCTTCCACCTCAGATGCATCTCTGATGTCAAAGATGAGAGCATGGAGCAGCCCGTTTTTTTCCACCACCTGCACGGGCAGCCAGGATGTCACAGTCCTGAGCAGCAGGAGGTGTGTGAGCGCTCATTCTTCTCTGGAATTGGGTTGCCAAAGGAAGGGCTTGAATTCACCTTAGGTATCTGAGCATGCAGAGTGCAACCTCAGAGAGCAACATCTAGGTTCTGCAGCTGCTAGTCCACCTGAGCCAGAGAGAAACGATCGCATCTTCTCCTTGCAGACTTCTGTGTTGGTGGAAGTTTCAAACGCCCTCCATTGCCCTAAGTCACTGCTTGAAATGACTCACAGGCCTTCATGCTACACTTATTACAACCCCTGCTGCTCTTCTCTGGTCCTGCAGCCCTTCCGAGCGACACGGTGGGTATTTACAGGCTTTGAGTACAAAGCTCCCCATGAGGCAGAGATGCCTGAAGCGGAAGGAGCGCTGTAATCCCCACAGATCCCACAGGCTGTATCCTCAGCCTTGGCAAATGAAAAATGTTCACGTTTTCCCAGAAGTTCAAAGTTCTCAGTGACGCGAGGGAACTGGTACGGAAAAAAAGCACGAATTTCAGCTGCACAGATTTTGCTGACATCAAAACCAGCTCCCCAGCCTGCTTCTCCTGGTAATGTCTACTCCCAGTGCTAGTCCATACTCCCACCCTTCAGTGATCTACAACTGAGCAAATAACTGCCCACCTGACTACCAGCAGGGCAGTTAGGAAGGGTCTGCCTACAGCATCATCTTTCCCCTATCCTGGCAATTTATTCCCCAGGAAAACCCAGCTGAAAGGCAGCATCTGCTCCGCAGCCTACATAAGCTTTTATTTAATTTCCCAGTGTGTTTGACTGGCAGAGATGAAGATCAAGCTAATGTTATTGCTTTGAACACCCATGCTGGAAGTACCTGTAACCCATAAGTGGTGCTATACAGTCAGAGGACTTACGGATTTGTAGGACTTAGGATAAACATGGAACTGTAAGGCAAGATTGGTTTAGGCCCATTTTTCGTCAAGTCATCGACGTCTTTCTTCTCCTCTGCTTTACTTTCAAATTCGACGCTGTTCACTGAAATGTAAATTTAAGGAAACAGAAACAAGAGAGTTAAAAATGTATCTGCAGTCGTCACACAGCAGGCTGCCTGCAGCAGCTGGATATGCAAACAGTGCAGCTGGGATCGCAAACAGCCTTGGAATATGTTGATTAAATGGGATGAACAATCATTTGATTATTATCACCGCTATTTACTACAGTACGATACACGCTGCAATTACACTCCTTAACTGCTGCACTGATGAGCAATATATCAGAAATGGCCAGGAAATGAAGATGCCCAGCGCAGACAAACAAAGAAACCTTACACTTATTTATACAAGAGCTGCCAAACTGGGAATGGAAATCCCATTTCAAATATCATAAGTTATTAGGGAGAGAGGATCAGCTAGGGATCCTTGGAAAGAAAAATGACAGTAAGTCTAACCAACTGCATAATTCTGTATCTTCTCCCACAGATCCGTAGCACGATTGGCTTTGGAATGTATAAAAGAGCAAATTCACAGAGGAGCTTTAATAACGTTGGGGCTAAGACTGCTGAACTTCCCAGCGTTAGGAGCAGAGACCTGGACGGGACTTCTCAGACCCCCTGGCTCTGTGCCTGCATAGTGCACCCCGGTTTTGGCAGAGCTCCCCATGAATAAAGGTGTCGAGCTCCATCTCAACATCAGGTTTTTAACTTACAGGATCCCCTCCTAGAAGATTGTTCTGAACCTCATTCCCAAAGGTTAGAAATCCATTCCCTACTTTCCATTATGAGTTTACTTGCAGTAGGTTTATAGGATAATTTACTTAAGATAATTTCCAATATATGAACTGGAAAATACCTCATACTGCAAATTCACTACTTAGACAGGCATATATGTTTGTCTATTAATTCACAAGACCTAGAATCCAAAAACCTCACCCACTTATAATGTGTTTGGTGCAGGATTTTTATTACTTTTTATTTTATTTCGCAACTAAATGACATTTCATTGTGTGTGAGTGACACGTTCAATAAACTCCTTATTGTATCTCAAGCCAGATACACAGGAAATGGTCAGGAAAGAGAGAGGCTGATAAATTGTGATTGACAGGAACTCAGTACTGCAATATAGTAAAATTACCATTTAAGAAAAAAAAAGAAAGAAGAAAGAAGACGCTGTTGTTGTGGCTGATAACACAGTGAAAAAGCACGTAGAGAAACCACTGGCTTTCAGCTGTGCCTCTTGGAAAGCAGAGTCCTGACACAGTCCTGACACCCTGTGCCCTAATGTGGACATCTTGGGTTTCATACTCTGCTTCTCCTTGGCACTTCCAGCTCTCAAAACTCAAGGGATGAGCCACATGGTGGCTGGCTGGCTGCACAGCAGAGCATGAGGACAATGATATCTGTAAAACAGTGTAGATCTATGCTGATAGACCCAAGGCACAGAGCTCTGAAGAGGACAAGCTAGGGTGGATCTGCTGAAATTGAGATGCAGAGGATTGCAAGAAGCTCTAAAACGACACAGCCTGCAGGAACCCAAACCAGCCGGGTCACACGCTGGATGCTGTGATAGACCTGCTGCTCCACAGCGGGGTCAGCTAACAAGCCAAGAAGTGTGAATCCACACTTGAAGTCTGCGGGCTTGAACACAATGCCACTGCCTCCCTTGTCCTTCACTGAGGGGTCTGTGGGCAGTGTGGCCCCCAGGACACTGGAGGAACCATAGCACAGCACTGTTGGAGTGGGAGCTTGCAGCACAGCAGCAGAGGAAGATGATAAAGCAGAGGACCTACTCCTGTGCTCACAGGGTCTTGACTGGTTTGCTGCAGAAGCTGCTTATTTTGCTGCACAGCTCTGTTACTGCATTTTCTTATTTTTCCTGCTCTTTACATCTTTCCCTCATGGAAAGACACATGCATGTGCTCTGGGTGAGCCATTTCCAGGGGACTTTACATGGTGCTTTCCAGAGCCACCAGCTTACCCTCACATTTCGGGTTCCTGCAGGCTGCATGAACTGTATAGCCTACATCAACAAGTTCTCCTGTCCACCTGTTGCAAGAGCTCGTTGTAGAGTTAGCTCTTTTCTGGCAAATCCATAGCAAAAAGCAGGGGATAAAGGCACTCACTTGGAATGACAGTGGTTTCCCCCGGCGGGGCAGTGATAGTGACAGGGATGTTCACAGCGGTGGTTTTGTCCAGAGGTGGCTGGATCATCCGCGTCACGTTCTTCTGGTTGTCAGCATCTTCTGGCTGCTCCGGCACTTTCTGTAGATAGGTGCTGGGAAGGGTGTGCACTGGGACGCTCACGCTTCCACTAGCCTCGATCTCACACTGGTTCTCCCTAAAGTAGAAAAGCAGGTTTTATTCAACATGGCCAAAGAAGAATTCAGTCAACACATGTACCCTGATGCTGCCCCTCTTGCTAGTAGGGTTCATAGACCGTTTTCTTCATGGAAGTCCTTTGCAGAAAAGTCACAGACTGCAGGACATCTTACAGACACCACTGTGACCTTTTCCTGTGAGACCTTCTGGACCAACATATCCAAGCACAACATCAAAAGGAATCATGCTGCTGAAAGTCACTTTATTCAATTTAATGAGATTCGGAACTGAGGTTCATAAGTGAAGAGCGCACGGCACTTGCGTGTGGCAGTGACATTAGCTTTCCAGCATCAGCTGGTTTCTGAATGAAATCTGACATTCTGCTGTTTAATGTTCTCCTGAGGCCTGATTTAAATTTAGTGATTCTCTTTTCCAGTCCTAAACCACTCTGTAATGTTGCTGTAAGCAGCTAAATAGCTTCTGCATTCCTCTGCAGCAGCGGCTATATTTCAGTGAGGAGGAAAGTGAGCTTGTGCCCATGATCAAACTAAACAGTATGCAAAGTGTTTTGAAATCCATCTGAAAGGAAGATAATATAGACAGGAAAATTATTATCTCAGTGCCACTCACAGCTCTCCACGGTGACATGAACTCAATTCTAAAGAATCCCAGTGAAATTTCTTTTCCATCAGACTAATAAAGCTGAAAAGCAATCTATCCTTCTTTATTAACTACTCTAAATGCTTCATGAGTACTATTTTTTTCCTCACTTGACTTACACAAGTATTAAACCAAATGGGGTACATCATTGTTCTTAATGGAAGAAGCCACGTGCTGTAACAACTGGTGATGCAGCTGACAGCATCACCATTAAAAAAAAAAAAGAAAACCAAAGGGCTATAAGCACGACTGGATGCCATTTAAAAATCTATCCCTCAGAAACTTCCTTCAGAGACTGTGAAATTTGCTGTTCCACTTTATGTCCTCACGGACCTGTTGGTATTTACATCAGGATATTTCCTCCCTTAAACCTGAGCTATTCCATGGGCCAGCATGGACCAAAATCATCTTTGGGAGCCTCTGTCGTTCCTGATTTAAGCAAAATGGAACTGCAGGTTATGGTGGTAGATGGTGTGGGTGTAAGAAGAACAACAGGGAACACCATAGGGAGGGGAATAAGTGATTTCCTAAAAGGTTTCTGGGGTCTCATGCCCCCAGAGCTGTCCCAGGGACGTGTCCGGCCACGCAGCGCTCACTTACTTGGGCTGATGATTCCGATGCTCCTTCTCTCCAGACTCCCCCTCCTTCTCCCCGTTCTCCTTCTCCACCGAATCATATGTCGACAGCGCCCTGTTCCTGAACCTGTGCCGCCTGTGAGGCTCTTCTCCGTTCTCACCCTTGGACCCGGGCTCTCCTTCCCGGTTCCCAGACCTCGACCCTCCCCGGTGTCGGGAACGCCGCTCGCTCCTGGCCCCGTTGATTGTCCCATTGCCTTCCTTGCCTTGCCGCTCGGCAGAGTGCCGGTGAGTCCGGTGCCTACGGTGCTCCTTCTCGGCACCTTCTTCCACCGACCCCCGGCGATGGTGCCTCTTTCCCCCTTCCTGACTCCTGTTGCGATCAATTTTCCCTTCCTTACTCCCCCCTTCCACCTCCTTGCTGCGGCTCCTGTGCTGCCTGTGCCGCTCCTCCTTATTGTTGGCACCAGATTCCCCGTTCTCATCCTTGGTCACATCACCCTTCTCTTGCTCTCCCAGTTTGTCCTTATCCCGATGCCGGTGGTGTTTTCGTGGAGCTTCTGCCCCATCAGTAGAGCTGACTTTGGTCTGCTCCACCTCCTGCACGTCCACGGGGCTCAGCTTGCTGATGTTGTTCCTCCCTTCAGCCCTCGGCTCTACCACCAGCGGCCGATCCAAATGAGTCTTCATGTCCGGCCTGATGTGAAGGGTGGTAGCGTAACGCACCCGCTCCTCGGGGTCCAGCTCGTTGTACAGCGCCTCGCAGCTGGCTCGGAAATTGTGCATCCGGATCTGGCTGGTCCTCTGCTCCCAAACAGACTTGGATTTGGAGGAGTTCTGCTGCTTGCTAAGGAGGGGAGGAAGGTGAAAAGTTAGTATCCAACTTTGCACCAATTCCTTAAAAAGCAATTGAGGGGAGAACAAAAAAAAGAGCAAATTTTGAGCTGAGAAGGAGGATTAGAGGGTTGAGTCAAAGAAATTATAGGAATGGAGAGAGAATGGCTGGCGGAGAACATGAGCAGGGAAAGCCAGCAGGATCATCAGTGTTAGTTTGCCCCCGAAGGCGTTAGGCACTGGAAAGGAGTTATCTTGATTTCCAAAACATGGCCATCCCCCTCGGAAGCCTCAGGTATAGTGTGGAGGGTTAAAGTCTCTGCTCACAAAAATCATATGGCACAGCCAGGACTTTCAAACAGCCTACAAGGCTTCCCCACAATTAACAGCACCTTTCTCCCCACCTGGCAATGTCTAGACGAGCAAATTAGTGGCGAGTAAGAGAAGTTAGATTGGCACGAGGAGCGAGGGGAGATGAAATCTGCCCTGAGGATCTGAGCCTGAGCACGTGGCCACCAACCCCTTCCCCTTACAGCCACGGGGGTCCCTTTTCAGGGTGATGGCACAGGAGCCGTTGTTCTAAACCCACGGCAGCCTTCCGAGGTGAGGATGGACCATCCAGCCCAAGCATCACTGGAGTCTGGAAAAGTACAGGTAAGAAAGGAGAAGAGTTCTGTGTACAGTGAAAAGACCCCAGGGACTGGGAGAGTCATCAGGAGATGCAGATGTGATGCACCTTTACCCCCTGGAGAGACCTGCTCTTTTCTGTGTTATCTGTTACAGTGAGGACACCTCCATTGGCATTGCCTTCATGCTGTGATTTTTCAGCACAATCCTTGGTTCCTGACCACCACATGTAAACGGGTCACTACCTAGCCAGGGCAGGAAGGGAAGGCTTTTTAAATTTCCTCCTAAAGATTGCAAGTCAAATTTTGCTTTTGCATAAAATCAAGGTAAACCCACCAGCTTCCAGAGTGGAGATCTGGATTCCAGTGGAGGTCAGCACCCATTCTCTTCCTTAATGAAACTTCTTCTAACAAGGAGAGGAAAACCATTTTCCTTCCACCAGCCTGCTCAGATGTCCCTGTTTGCCACACATGAGTCTGCCCTCCGCAGCCGGCGGGGCTGCGCGGGGCTCACCCACCTCCAGCACTTACTCCGCAGCCCACAAAGGCTGTGGAAATAGGGAGGCAGATGCATTTTCCTTATGCACTTTCTGGGCTCCCTCGACAGTAGAAGAAAGCAGCTTTCACGTGTGTATGTGCTGATTTGGACTGTCAGGGTCTGTGGCCATGTGCAGATCCCGGGGGAGGCAGCGCTCGGACGGGCCCGAGTAGCACAGTGGGAGCTGTGGGAAAGGAGCATCTCAGAGCTCTGCTGGGGATCAGATCTTCACAGAGGGTGTTGCTGCCAGGGTCTGCTAAAGAGGCAAAAACCTACCGAAACGCTCACTGCGGGTGGGATGAGGGCACCCAGGCAGATGTGAAGGGGTCTGTTTTAACCCAGAAATCAGACTGAGCACAGCTAATCACCAAAACTAAAAATCTACATCCCCTGTACCCCAGAGGCACATTCTGGACCAATTTACCACCAGCTGAGTGCCCCATTTACACTACAGCAGAACAGGTGACACAAATCACAGTTCTAAGCATAAAGGATACCAGAAGGTACTGGGGACATAGCTTAGAGCCCCACTCCCCACAAATCCCCCATCAAAGGGTGAGCAGGCTCATTAGGGCAGAGCCCCCCCCAGTCTGCCCCAGCGACCCCTTGCACAGGAGATAACAGCCCAACCACAGCAGGCATTTCTTTTTGGTTTAACATTACAAAAGATTCAAACTCTATGGCTCATCGGCAGATTTACTTGATTTGAGAATGAATTAATAGATAACGCACAAAGCCTCCTCTGACTGCCCAGACCTACTGTCCCGTACTAGGATTTCCCGTGGGAAGCCACGTGCTGTGTGGTTACAGCTCTCCACACTCAGCAGAGACCAGCGTAGAGATGGAGCTGCCTGGCACGGGTGTGCCGGGATGTGTGTGTGTCCTCCGGGACGGACGGGGTGCCGCGCTCTGCGGGCCAGATTCAGCTCTGCTTAACTGAGCTGGGCTACGAAAATGAACCTCCTCTTTAGCACACAGGCTCGGGGGAACAGGCAGCTTAGGGATGGGAGGGTGCATGTCTGAGCTCCCCGAGTGCTGCTGCAGCACAGGCCACCAAGCACATTTGTTCTCAGGGGATATTTCTCACTCCATAACGAAAGTCCTCGGGGCAGGGACCAGCTTCTGCTTTGTGCTTTGAGCCACCAGAGCAGCTGTCAGCACTGAAGTGATAACTACTAAGAATGAGTTGGAGTTAGGAAACTGCCCTCACACTGACTGAAGCCTTCAATTCATCTACAAACCAAGAGCAGAGAGAAGAGCACAATCCCCCCACTCCCCGTGCACCGTCCTGTGCTCCATTTCCATGGGACGGGCACCAGGCAGGGGTGGGATGCAGAGCCCCAGACTCCCTGCAGAGACTCTCCAAAGTAAAACACACAGTAAATCATGGGCTTTCATGGACACAGACTCTCCATCAGTGCCTGCACTGAGCCCATCAGAGCCAAGATATAGAGAAAATCTAAATCAGACTGGATGTGGCAAGGAGGCAGGTTGAGGATGCAGGGCTGGTACTCATCACGCAGCACAGAGGCGACACTCGGGGCCTGCTAGCTGTGACACAAGATGTATCACTTCAGAAGGGTTTTTTTAGCTGGGTTTCCTTTACACCAAGAACACAAATCAGCCTTTAAATTATCTCTGAGATGCTAAAGCTTCCACTGTACTTGATTCATGGCTCGCTGAAAGGTGCTGCCAGGAACATACACCACTGAGAACCTGCAGAAAGCAAGTGATGCACATATTAACTAAGCCTATTTTTGCTAAAATCCCTTCCTTAAAATGGACACTGAAGTTACAGACTCGAATTTCTCAGCATCTAGAAATGAGACGCATCCTTAATGCTGACACAAGTAGAGGAGCTGATTGCCAAAAGACTAGGCCACCCAGCCACCCGCTGGCTTTGGTTACTAACGAGTCAAAGAACAGGAGGATCAGAAGTAATGACTGCACCCTCTCTTCTTTCTGCATGAAAAGACAAAACAACAACAACAAAATAATCAGAAAATAAAGTGCAGTGAAAATGCAATCAGCAAAATGTGAAGCCTGCCTGCAAGCTCATTATCGTATTCAAACCAGCCAAGAAGATCAGAAGCAAGTGGCAGTGCACATCAGGTCTGCTGCAGGAGATGGAAGTAAAGCGACCGGGCAGGTTGGTCCCTCTGGGGACAGTGTTTAGGGTTTTTCAGAGGCGAAGCAGCAGCAAGTGCAGGGAATGTGTCATCTGCTTGTCCAATTGAATTTATCTGACTCTCGCTTTCCACAGTCTCCCACAGCAGCTGGACATGGACATGGGTGACAGCTGCTCCTCTCCTGTTGCTCTGCTGTACCTCTTGGCAGAGGAGAGCTTTCGAACTCGCTCGTGGCACAACGGGAACGTCACCGTAAAACGAAGCACAGTTGCACTACAGCCCCCTGCCTACGAGGACACGGTGCCTGTGCACACAACGAAGGACTGCAGAAGAGATGGATAAACATAGTCAGGGCAAAATAATTTCCTCTGCTTCCTCCCGTGTTCGCTCCAGTTAATTATTAAGTGCTGCACGAACCGGGGCAGACGCAAAGTGTCTACAGTACAAGCATGATATGCCACAGAGTATCAGGACTTGTCCAAACTGATAAAAAATGAGCCTCTGTGATAACAAATATTTCTTTCCACAAGAGAAAACTGTCTATTAATGAAGCCAACTCCTTATCTGAAATCCTGTTCACTGTTTGCTTCTTAAAATCCTTCTGAATCCATTAAGAATATTGCATTTATCACCCCTGATTTACAGACATAGTACAAAGATTCATGTTAATTCACTTTCTTTGCAATTACTTCCCATCCCTATTTTCGGTCTGCAGAATATTTCGAACTCTTTGAAGGGTACTGGCAATATACTCAGTTTTCAGGTCCTCTGGGCTTGAAACGCTGTGGTATATATTATATGCTTCTCTAAGTAGCTCCACTGTTTTTGCTTGGATTAAGAAGCCAGCAGTCAAACAATTCCTGCCTGTGGCTAGAAAGAAAACCATAAAATTAATGTAGAATCAAATAAAATTCTTATTAATGAGTCAGTGACTAATGCTGGTATAAATAAAAAAAGCAACCAGCCACTGCTTAGATTGTTCAAGAAAGGAAAGCATATTTTTAGTCATATTCTAATCTTAGAGTATTCCTTAATGATTAAAGATTTTGTTATCATAACCTTTTAAAACACTGAGTTAGTTAATGGCACTTTGCTTCCCAGAACTACCGGTTTAATCAGCTACATAAATGCAATTCTTAGAATTTTGCTTCAGTAAATAATGAATGAAAGCTGACTTTGAACATAATTTGAGGTTAAAATACCTACTTTTTAGATCGTGGGTATGAAAGAATATGTTCTGATTACAGATGAAAGGGAATTTCTTGTTAAAATACAGTTTCAACAGAAAATGCAACGCAAAAAACCTTTCTACTAAAGTCATGTTTTCTGTTCATAAACTTAGAGAAGCTCTCTCCACGTTTCAATTTTCCGCTTGGAAAACACGACAAAGCATTTTAGTTTGGGGTAGACATGCACAAAGCAGAATGTTTTATCTCTGTTTGGCTTGATAAAACAATTTTCTTTCAGATGAACTCACCACTAGTGTTTAAATTTGCTTTGCCAGTGACCCAGGAGTCGCTGCTTGGACGCTTTGGCACCTTTTCCTCTTTATGAGCCCCGTTGTCCCGCCTGAGCTCTCGCGGGAGACGCGCCGTGCTCTCCCCCCGAGCCGAGGCGATGGTGTGTGTCACAGAAACCACCACCAAGGACACTCCTGAAAAATGCTGCCTGGTCTCTTCCAATGTTATCCTTGAATTTGATTTTGGTTTTATATATTAGA